TCGTATCAAATATGATCGTCGTAATAATTCTGGAGACTGAAACGGTGACTGCGAGGTAGAGAGATGTCCCTAAGGAAGCTCGAGCTAAATAGACAGGTTTGATGGATGCGCCTTCCCGGCGATATTGATAAATAAAGGCGATTACAGCGATGACGATTTCGATGGTCAATGAATTTATATACCTGACAAAAGCCCAGGCCGAGCCGATAAATCAGCCACCCCAGTCGTTCCCTTACCTGTGCCCCAACGACACGATGGTGACCGCGCCAGGAGTAATCTCTCAATCTAAATCGATCTCGCTGCCAAAACGACTTCGATTCGTAGCTGTTTATCATCGGCCGCCGTACGAATATTATTTCACGAACGCGCACGGGTTACGAACCCGCGTTGCGTGCATGCGGTCCACGGAACCGAGAGAGATATCCGGTGATGAAGCCGTGATCTCTACGTGGGAGCACCGCAGGGGGTCCCAACGGAACTCGTGTAGATACCTTCGACTTTCGTTTTTATTGCGCCTCGATGAACGCCGGGCCATTCATTAAATCTATGCGCCGAAAACTTTTGCCCTACGACCCCTTATCTCGGTAAAAGACTAGACTCGATTTTTCTATGAGATTTCTTGACGACTCGAATTTGCAGTCTCATTACGATTCCGTCGACACGTGTTCGTCGGTGTTTGACGTATGAGATGTATGATATATATATATGAAATGACGCATTTGAATGTCCTTATTGTCAGTATCGAGCAGCAGAAAATGAACAACAGGGATCGATATCGGCGTAGATATCGGCACGTACCTTTCGTTGCATTTATTATACAAATATTAATGGTGGAAAAATATGTCAGATGAGTCAAGGCCCCGACGATATCGGCTATATTTACAGTTTTTCCTCATTCGTTCGATTAATCATCGAGTTTGCCAAGTCGTTCTTAATTTCCGCTAGGCCTCGCTATCTAACGTGCCGGCGATCATCTATTTTATATACGTGTACCGATAACAATGACGAACTGTTTAAAGAAGATACCATTTTCACGCGAGAGTACCGTTAGCAGTAATTTTTGAAACGACGGACACAATTACTCGAAACCTGTTATTCTTCCCTACCCTTTTTGGCTAGGAAACGAGTTTGATAACGCTCGTGATAACGCGTAACCGTTTCGCGGTGTCGCCAATTTTTACGCGTTTCAATTTGCCAGCGGCGACAAAAACCATTCAATTTCGTTGCTGGTAATAAAAATAAGGAAGAGACGCGGGTACGTAGGTTTTCCAATTTGTGATAAGAAATTATTTTTTATCAAATTCCGTAGTACGCGTTCTTGTTTTTATTTCCTTCCGTTGCGTTCTCGCACTGAAATTGCCTGAGTCGTAAACCCGTACCCGTTCGTTTAGGATTTACAGCTGGAAAGACCGAGAGTGGAAAAAAAAAGAGGAAAACGTGCTTAATCGGTGCAACAGAGTTTCCCCACCGGAAAATAAACTTCGCTGACGTTTTACGACGCGTTACCAAAATCGTCCCGACGAAATCAAAGAATCACTAACGGTGTTTCAACCGTAAAATAAATCCACGTGTTGAGACATTTCCTATAACATTAATGAAATCATGATAAATACTTATTATCAGACTGTAGATTTTATGCAATTCAGAAAACTGCATGTGCTGAAATTATAAGTGACAGTATATAATATCTCAGTTTTAAAGTGATCCTAGAAACGTTCTGCACAAAGAGCCGCAGTCTACTTATCGTGAAACGTGGTTGAATTGAAAAGTAAAGGACGTATCATAATCATCTTCAATCAGTATTCCACGGTGTATTAAGATGGTATGTGTCCTAAAAGTTGTAGCCTGGGGTTAAGTCGAGTTGTTTAATCGTCCGTATAATATGCGATCATGCCATTTGCTCGTTTTTCCTTAACGGCTCCGGCACTTTATCAAGAAAACGCCCGCGAGCCGAGGCTTAGCCCTCGCGTTTAATCTCCTTCATTCTCGTTACTGCTTCCTCTTCATCGTGTATCTGTGTACGCACACATCTCCGTCTTATCACGAAATCCCAGCCTCGGTATTCCGTAGTAAATTATCAAACGTTATCAATAAAATCTAGCAAACGTTTACATATAAAATTGCGCATAAAATATACAATTAATTATACGGGCTTTCTGAGATTCGATTAGAACGTAGAGTGGATTGGAAGATGAGAGGTGGAGAACAATTAGAATTAGAATATGTGGGGACACTTGGTCCTCGGTTAGACGATGATTTACTGTCGGAGCGGACGGTCTTTGTCGTTCGTACACCCGCGAAGCGTGCAAACCGTAAGGTACAAACAATAAAACAATCGTAGAGAAGAGTGAGGCGACGATAAATCACCGGGGACTCGGTTATCTCGTCTCGCGAGGGATAACGCGTCGCGGCCTGGCATCCCGGTAAATTTAGCTATTGTCGTGTGCCTAGGATATATTAAATCTCGTTAAAACGTCTTCATGAAGGGGGAGACTCGTAACCGCGCGTACACGCTATACCATCGTCACGGTCTTTCGATGGTCCCTGCGTATTTTGTCACGCTGACGTACCATTGCCTTTTCATTTTTCAACACTGTCCTCTGTGAGAATCAAAGCCAACAGATTTCACGCGTTATCCGACCGATACAAAGTTCAGAGAAGTTCGAGCTTACGCCGGATGAAGAGAATTAAAATAGAAATTGATTCGATTCGTAATAATGTATTTGTACGGTTGCGTCAGTGTTTCGAACTCGTGACCGAGGTTTGAAAATCTCATTTGCACAATTTTTTTTTACCAGTCTCGCATCAGAAATAGACATCGATAATTGGGCATCCGTTCGCGCTTCTGTTCGAATAAAGAAAGCGATGGATTTCCTCGGTTCGGGTACTAATAGGAGTAACTGTCTCGCGATTATCCGTGGACGATGCCATGGATTACTATGCGGGACGCAGGTATTCTCGGTGACAGAGACGTGGGAGTGATTCCGTCGAGATGAGGACGAACAGGCCGCGCCCATTTGTTTGCCCAGGGTAACAGTTTTACCTGAACCCCGTCTCGGTTCGAGTCTCGCTCTCTATTGATTTATTCGGTTCATCACGAGGTATTATCGCGCGCCGAGAGATCGGGATATTTGTTCCTTCTAAAGAAATCTCTCGGTGAAATCGCGAACCTTTATCCTAGTTTTTCAAACTATACAGTTTCTGTTATGTTTTACGCCTGAAAAATCGAAATAACTGCAAACGAGGCTGGCGTTCCTCGTGCCGGAAATTCGAACACCCACGTACGTACGGCAGGGTACGAGTTAGGAGTTAGAACAATGGCACCTCGGATCCTCCCTACCGTGATTACTATAATGACACCGTGGTACCTCTTCAATGATATGATTTGTGGCCACGTCGCGGAATACCGATGCGAGTGTTAACTGGCGTCATTCGGTTTCACACCTCCCGTCTCGACTTTCTATCAACCGTTTGCAAAATCCTCTACGATACGACGCTTTCACAGTGTTTTCTTATCGAGAAAGGAAGTCGCGTTCATTGCACTTGAAATGATAAAGAATTACACAGAAGTAACTTATTTTACATACAAATGAAAAGTCTACTACTTTCTTCTCGTCGTATATTTTCATGTATGTAAAAGGGTTTTTTAACCCGTGGAATAATTAAATAAATAAATAAGTAAATAAATAAATGATCTAGAGGAATCTAAATGACAGTCCCATTAGTTGGAATCCTACTGTTTGATTAGGATTCCATCGAGGTGGACCATCATTCACGGTGACCACCTCGGAGGATCAATATTATCACACGTGCTCGAAACGCCGACAGAGACCTACTTCCCAATCGGAATATATATATATATGTCGTACTTCGTTTTCGGATCGTATGGCACCTGCATTCGATAGGTATAATATTTATCCAAGTCCGCCCTTTTCAGGTAGACTGCGGCATTTGAATATACCCGATGGATCTATTTGCATGCTCGCCTCGTAGATAAGAGGCGCACCTCCGAACCCGCCCTTCCCGTTTTCATCCCTTAAAACAGTACAGTTCAATAAATGTTTTCATTAAAAGAAATAATTTGCGATCGATGCAATTCTGTAAATAGGTCAAAGATCATATTGACTCCTCGTGCCTCCGAGCTATAGGTAATAATTACAACTCTTGTCATGCATAATTTCTTTAAATAGTCTCTATCTGTTGAGAGTGGCAATGACTAATGACGTGATAAGATCGTGCCGTGAGAAAGCGGTTATCCAATTCTTACCAGCAAATGCAATAACATTTGAAGATTCATGGTAGGATGGTAAAAGTGTCGAGTTAGATTAGGTTCGTCGAAAAGGTGTTAGAAGAATAGAATCGAGCTGCGAATAGAATTGCGTCGAGAGAAGCCGATCGAGGATAAGAATACATCCGTTTTTTCCACGATACTTTTTTACGATGCTCATTTCCGTTCACGGTAATGTCACTTTGTATAGTTTTATCTCGGCGCACCGGTGCAACGGGCACGACCGTAAAACACTTATGACACCCGTAGCATAATAATGCCGTGTCCGATAGCGGCTATCGTGGCCGTATAGAAACGCGACGCATTCGCCATTTTCCTAATTAATGTTTAATGCTCCCGATATCTGCCCTCCTTACTCACGATTATACCTCGGGTTGATATCGCGTATCGACTAAACTCCCAGGCTTCCACCGGGGAATCGGGTTAAAATTTGCGTAGTCGATAACAAACAAAAAATTAAACACCGCATTGCGTTCTTCATCTTAACAGCTTATCGATTTCCCTTTGTCGCATAATTATCAATAAATTACATTTTCCACGTGCGTTCTGATAAGGGAAAAAATTGAACGGCCCGATACTGGATACCCTTTCGATTTTTCTACGACTCGAAGTAAGCGTGTACGTCTAAAGATCAGGCCGTATTAAATAAGTTGTAATTACCATGAGGGATCGTGACAAGGTGGTCTGACCAGAATCGTTAATCTGTTTCCAGTCGCACCAGGAGGAGGACCTGTCGGATCCGGACCTTCAAGACGAGGAGAGCGGCGAAGAGTTACCTCAGCAACCACTTCAGGGTAACACGCACTCCTCCGACAATGCAGCCGCACAGCCCGTTACACCTACTCCATTAACGCACTTGAACAGTCTGATGGGCGCCCATCATCCGCATTTCCTCACTAAGCTAAAAATGGAGGTCAGTGGAAACCCATTCTCCCATTTACCCCTCGTACAGGTTCCGTTCAAATAGAATTGCATTTACGTAAATACTTAGATATAAAAAAATGCTTGATACTATTTATTTATAAATCGATTTAACACATCTCCTCCCGATCGGTCGTCCTTCTGTCCCGCGATTCGTTTGCGTATCAAATAAAAAACGGACATCCCTATTCCTGTTGCAGCCACCCGACGTGGACCTGAACAGTAAAAGCGGGTTGGAAGCATTGCAAGCCGCGATGGGCAGCGGTGGTTTCAATCTGCCTTTCTCGTTTCCACCGCCGGCCGCGTTCCTCACGCCGCAGCATCACTCGCAAAACAGTCACGCTCAGCCGGGGGGTAGTGGCGGCGGCGGTGGCTGTGGTGGCGGCGGTGGCGGTGTGGGAAGCAGCGTTGGAAACCAGGTAACGTCGTCGAACAGCTCGCACTCGAGCGAATCGTCGCAGGGCAGCGCGAGGAACGGCGGCGTCGAGCCTCGGGAGAACAGCAATCACTCGCAGAACAACTCAACGGGGACGAATCACCAGCAGCAGTCGTCCAGCTGGAGCTTCGAAGAGCAGTTCAAACAGGTGCGTCAGGCAAGTACCTATAACTATTACCTTTGTTATATGTATATAGTTGCATGTACACGTTTTCGTCAATACCTTTAGACTGTAGATCTCTCTCAGAAATAGGACGTTCATAGTACCAATTGATAAAATGCATTTCAAACAGCAATTCTTTTTAACATTTATAAAAATACTTTCGTCTCGTTATTCAAGTACTGCAGTATGTAGTTTATTTTAATATTTCATATAGTTTTACGCATTGCATGCAGCATTTATATCTTCTGCAAATTCGATCTTTTAAAAAATACTGATAATCTACAGTCTATTAATACAAATCGTGAATATCTTTCACGTTTTGGAGATCTCATGGTATTGGAAATTGTGTGCAATAATTGCACTTCTATGGCCTGAAGGGTGATTCGTAAGACTAAGCCGAGAATCAGGCTTTTTAAACATAGTTCGTGAAGGGGTTGAGAGGTAATTCCCGGCGTGAATCGTGGTCGCGCGCATTGGAGGCGTCTCGCGCGAGTATCGTGGGCGTGTAAAGCGGTCGCCCTTTGCGGGACAGTGGTTAGCGGCGTAAGGGACGCGTAATTACCGCTGGCGAGAGAGGTGGCGGGAAAGAAACTCGTACGATTGGCGGGGGCTTTAATTAATGCAACGATGGGAGCTAATTATTAGTTTTGCACGCGCGGGAGATAATTACCTCCGTGTCATTGTACGTGATCGAAGGTATGGATAAAGTTAAGAGCGTCTACGGGAGAGATTGAAAAAGTGGAATTAAAATGAGGAATTAAATGAACGTTATTTAATATGGGATTAGAGGGGTGTGAGATACACTTTAATCAGCGTCTGGTTTTTTATCCATGCTCTTTGATTTCGCTAAACCGGCTCGATGCTGGTTTTCACTTTTTGCGAAGAGGGTGTGGTGTCGAATTACCATTTAGATTGTTCCGTTCATACGACAAACCCCGGAGCACGAAAATGCGTCTTACGCTCTTTCTTTTGACCTTCGAAATTGAATCCTTTCTTATTCCCTCTGCCAGTAACTAAGTTCATTCGTCTCTGGCGAATCTCTTGAATTTGCGATACGCGTTCAACTCGTCAGGGGCTGTTCTATCGGGTTCACGGAGTCTGCGCGAGTCGCTGATTAAAGCTTACGGAACGCGAAACGATAGGGAGAGAGGAACGAGAGCCGAGGAATGAAAATGGAAGTCTCCACCTACTCGAAGAGCGGCGCCCGGCGTCTCACGGATCGCATCCATCATTCCGGTGGGGGCGTACGCGCCGGGTCTTTAATCTTTCCTCTTAGCGAAGATGGTGGTTTCCCTTGAGAAGAGACTCCCTTGCTCCCTGCGTTCTGACGCGAACCGAATTTAACCACGCATTTCCCGATCGATCCGAACCAATGGCTCTTTCACTCGTCACGGATATTCGATCAACAATGATTTCCTTCGATTCGGAAATAATATTCTGATTTATTCCAAGAGTATCAAAACATTTTTCCAGTTCAATCTTCACGTCACGATATTTATAGTACTTCAATTAATTGCCTGGCATGAAAATTTCTGAATGGTTTCAACGAGACTCGGTAGGGCTACCGTTTTCAAGCCGAACTATAGACTATCTCTCAGCGCATCTCTACCGTCGTTCACTGACCGAGGCACCGTAGCTCGGCGTAATACCCTCCACCACTATACTTTGCAGCCATTGTGAAATAACTCGTAAACCTGCAAATTGTCGGGTATTTCACCTACCACGTATACACGCGTGCATCGGCCCTCCTCACATCGCCGTGTTCGTACACACCCACAATCGCGCCGCGATCTACGTGTGCGTGGGCCTGTCCGAACAACTTCGGATCTTGTAACTCGGTATCGTCCGGTGGATCCGTTATCACCGTGATTATGCAGATGCGTTATCATTATGCAAACGCGTCGGCGCGTTTATACTTGTCGTCGATCGTCTGAAATTGCGGGTGCAAAACTTTTATGGGGACAGACCCTCGTTCTGGCCGGTGTCGTATCAGTTTGTTTTCAGGCTAGACAAAGAATAATTGCCACTAGGTAACAAAACGTTCTCAAGTGTAAAAGGATTTCCGGTTTCCAGATTATTTAATTGCTGTATTAATAATCGACGATTAATTTGTATATCGAAGTCAGTTTTGGAATTTTTCTTTCTATAGAAGAATTCCCAGGCGAGACACGATGCATTAATTGCTAGACAAGACGACCGGTCAATCAATGTCCCTCTTTTACGGATTCCGGATTTTCGTTTTCCCGTGCAGCCGGCGTTATTATTGATCAATTAGCAGGCCCATGCATGCAGAAGCGCAATTACTGCACGGTGCAACGAGATGATTATTGGACGCACGAAGCACAGAATGGGTTCGCTCCTATTGTGGCACCCTTCGCAACGGTTTGTTAATTCTCCTGCATTCGGGAAGCTAGCAGCCTCTTCAAAAGGAACGAGGAGAAGCTGCCGGGGCGTCGGAACTAACCGCGAAATTGCGAACCGTGTTGCGTCTTCGCAACCGGACTTAATCTACTTACCTCGTCGCGCTACTCGTTAAACGATTTCCTTCTTTTTAGCGAGATGCACTTATATCGACCCGCGGATTCCGTGTTTACCCAATAATTGGATCAGGTTGTAAATATGGCTATTAGCTACCTATGTTCGTACCGATCGGTACAAGTCTCTTGTTTTTAAACTCGAAGACGAATGAATTATACGCTACAGATTTAAACGTTTAGTATCAATTTCGAGATATGCATCTTCGGTGTAATTTCGTGATTTGATATTCCTCAAATGATTACTGAACACACACGTATAATTGTAGAGATGCATCGAAAAGAGAGATGTCAGTCGATATTATCTTGGCATTGGTCGCGTGAGCAGAATACGATGTTCATGTTCATTTCTGTCGTGACCATTCCTCGCGACTCGCGTAGATAGGGATCTCGTAGCCTGAAAGCATATCGATGGAATCGCGATGCTCCTGTTTAGGCAAATTGGTTCGTTACGCCAATTCGAACATCAGATTTCCACTGCATGGGAGAACGCAATTTCGCGTTTCCGTTCCACGGAGGATGTCAGTTAAAGAATTCCTAGCCTAATTTGTATAATAAGCCTCGAAAGCGAAATCGTCATTCCTGTCGGAAAGCAAGTTCAATGCAATGTGTAGGAATAATTAAAACAGGCTTTAGTTGAACTCGAGACGTAGAGTTTCTTGATATAATTCTGGACGGACTATTAGAAAATGATATTTAATTTCTGTACGTCGAATTTTCTCCTAATCGTATAAAATTCACAGCCTGGAAATAAAAGAGCACGTCGGCGCAGGAATTGGGGGATGTCTCCATCGCGGTCGCGACAAACGACCGACACGAATCTCGACGCCTCGAAGAGTTATATTTTGACCCCGGTTAGCATACCAAAGCTGCATTATATTACACGACGTCCGTGCGCTATTATAATGAATATCTCTGGCGAGACCCATAAGCATATATGTTAAGCACGCGCGTTTCCATGGGGTCTCGCGCGGCCTGACAGACAAAACGCATCACGCACACATCGTTCCAGTCCATCGTCTTCCTTCCTCTTCCCCGTCGTCGTCGAGATATCATTTGAATTTCAATGAATCATGTGGGTGCAAGTGTCGCCCGTATTCATTCACGGTCCACGTTCGCGCGTACGTCTCGCGGCGTGAACGTACACTCCCGGCCGTGTTCATATGTATGTAAAGCGTCCTCTTCCTCCCGTCCCTCAGTCCTCGGTGCGAAAGAGGAGACAAATGTCGGAATCCTCTTCTCTTCTCCCCACGGGTTATTCAGACGAAACTGGGCACAAAGGTGTCTGGTCGCGTCGCGATTCAACTCGCGGCCACAAAAGGAGATTATCTCAGATCGTCCTTTGTACCCTCGCTGCTCGTCCATTACGAGTCACCTTCCAACCCTTCCGTCTCTCTGGTAGCCGTATCGAACCTAGTCATTTTTCTTAAATGAACAGGACCATCTCGCAGTTTCGTCACGTGAGAAAAGGGGCACTGATTCATCTCGTATCAAACGTTTCTGTGTATAAAACAGAAAAATTCCTTTTCTTCTTCTGAATTATTCCAGTTTGGTAACGGCATTAATCTCAGTGCGAATCGGAAAAATTGTACACTGTCAAAATTAAAGATCTTTGAACTCTTCGTCGCATATTCTGATCGCTTCGATGTGATAACACGAAACCGTTGCCCCGGAAGCATTTTAACATTTTAAAACAATTTCCTTAAGAAAGGCGTACATGACACGAGCCGCAGAATTTTTCACGACTCCTTATTATCTGATGTGCGATCTTTTTAGTCGGCCACTTCCGTGATTGCAGGTGTCGATTCTTTGTTCGGGAAAACAGAGACGGACCGGTGCAAGTGCGATGGCAATTTATTTCCGAGCAATTGGCCCTTTTTCCGCGCGGAATTCCGTAAACGGGTGACAGTGGACGTTGCTTGCTTCCTTACAAATTACAGATAATAGCCGACAGCTGGCGAGAAATTAGGGTTACTTGGAGTATGTTCCGTGTACGCGTACTTACCCTCGTTATTCGAACGGAAATCGCATTTGAGACGCGCCCCTAGTCTCCGAAAGAGACCGTGAAGATTCAAAAGAAATAACGCGTGTCTCGAATCGTTCGTTCAATTATCTCCTTCAAACGTCTCGGCGACGAAATTAATTTCGTTTCGCGTTTAACGCTCTCGGGAGAAAGAAATGGGGAGACGCGCGTGGGACGCGTCATTTGCTTAATTGCGACTCGGATACACTCGCTCGACGAGCGAGTCGAGCCTGAACCGACCAATTCCCTGTCCGACCGGAAAAACTGTGCCGCAATAAATCGGGCGATGACGAAACTCGAATTCGATGACTCGATGTCGTTTGGGATATTTACGGAACGTTTGAAAACGGAGAACGGAAAATGGTAAGCAGAGATCGAGTGCCGGGAGGAACGGGACGCGTCGTGACGGAGAAGAAAGAGAGAGGGTGAAACCGGGG